AAATCTCTAACAGGCTGAGGGGGTGGGATGGAACAATAATATCTTGGGTCTAATTAGTAGGCTGGGAAGACTATTGAAGGCCTGAAGACAAAGCTGTATACTTGTGTCTCAAGCAGCTGTCTTCTTTTTGCTGACTACATATCTCCCATTTTCCACTCAGTATTTTCTATATCCACATAGAATATCCTGAATGAAATAGAACATCCTAGCATATTCGTTGCCAGCTCTGACATATGCATAATTGCAATGATTTGTTAATTTTTTTTTGTTAATTAGGTGGTTCTAAAAGTCACGCCTCATTACTTACCAATCCACTTGGATTGGTAAGTAATGAGGCGTAAACTTCCTTCTTAAATTCTATCCAAATTATCTTGAGTTCGATTTTTACGTACTGATAGATAAGACTTCAATGCTATTACACTAAATAATTTAATGTTATCAATAGTTTGTGTTAGGAGAACTAAATCGTTATTTTTATTCATTTTAGTTAGATGTTTTCCATGTGCTTTTTAGCGATAATCGGTTTGTTTACTCGAAATTTGTTGTGCTGTATATTCTCGGGTATGTATTTTGCATAACCAAAGTTGATTTTGTTTGGTAATACTTGCAGAAGGTTTCCTGCAATTTTTCAAAAATAAAACAATTCCATGGCGCTTCATTTCTAATCCACCGCTAGAAATAAAATCGTTTTTGAGGTGCGTAGATGACAGCCACGCAAGATTTACAAATAAAAATATTGTCATCCGTTATTAAAAAATATTAAATAGTCAACATTATGTCAGTAAATACACAATTGAATTAGAAGATGAAAACAAAAGATTAAATTTTTTTAGATATCCGAGTATATCGACTTCATTATTGATGTGTTTGCTGAAAATGGATACGAAAAGAAAAAATTAAAAAACCTTGTAAGTATTGTTATAAAAAACAACACTCAAATAATAAAATAGTCATATCTAACAATGAAGCACCCATGCCAACTATATCACTACGGTGGATCCCAATATTATCACCGAAACTTCAAAAAATTTTTAGGAAAGCAGTTTACAAGTCAGTTTTTAAATCTAGTGCAAATCTTAAATCCTTGCTAATCTCTTAGCAAAGAAGAAACGTCTTATCACAGAGCACTGAGAAACAACATTTAGCCAGTAATTCAAACCTTTTAGTTAAAAAAAGTTTTTTTTTAAATGACATTAAAAAATTTTTTTTCACAAGAGGCACATAAAATTACTGTAATAAAATCTACAGTAAAATATGGCGGAGACTCTGTTATGGTTTTGATCTGTTTTTTTTTTGTGATGGTATAGATAAATTAAATTTGATTAAATAGTAAGAATTTTTTTAACTTTTTATTACTAGAATACCTAGAATACTGTAATAAAAAAAATTAATTTTTGAGATTCAGTCAATTGATATAGGCAATTATATCTTTTAATATGATTATGATTCCAAGCATATAGTCAAAATTACAAAGAAATTATTGATAGAAAATTACATAAACTTGTTACACCTCAGAGCCCTGAACCCAATAAAACATCTTTCGGACAAATTGGATTGCAAGATGCCCCATTACAAAAGAGGTTTTAAAACTCCATTCAAATGAGCTCTGACTTTAAAATATGCTTTCGCCTAGTTAGGGCTACAATGTTGCTATTAATTCCTAAATCTGCAGTTCATTAATCCAATATATATATATATATATATATATATATATATATATATATATATATATATATATATATATATATATATATATATATATATATATATATATATATATATATATATATATATATATATACATATATATATATATGTATATATATATATATATATATATATTTATATATATCTTTACTTGTTTGCTTGACATATCAAGAATGTAAAGATGAAGATATTGAACGTATCAATAAAAAATGGTCCAAAAAAGTGAGTTCTACTAAAATTGCTTTCGAAAAAGATAAAAAGTATTTAAATTCTAAAAAACATTCATCACACTACATAAATAGTGATAATCGTATTGATGTAAGTTCTGTTGTGTCAAATAACGATGGCATCCACCATGAAGAACAAACAAAATCAATACCGTCAAAAAACTGGACAAGCCTTAATACAAAAAAATAAAACCTAAGGTCATCAACCTATCCACCAAACACTTGACATCTTCTCAAATATATCTTCTCACTAAAGATCCAAAATTTTTCCCGGTTACAAATGGTAATTTCTTACAAATCGATTCATATATTTAAAATTTTACAAGGAAACTTATAGTAAAAGAAAAATTTTATGGTGCCACAAGTAACAATATTAGCATAGTTAAAAACCTAATTATTGTACCAAAACCACTCTGCCAGAATTAAAAGAAATTATTTCACAAATTGAACAAACTAAACCTATTAAAGTTCAATATATTGATAACATTACAAAACAAGAAAGAGCAGCGATTAAAGAATTACAAGAAATGAAATACATAGTCATTAAAAAAGCTGACGGTAATATTTTAGTTGTAATGGATTTTTATACTAACAAACTTTTTATCAAGACCATCTTTTTTCTGTTAACACATATGAAAAAATAAGTTCTGAATACGATAAAATAGTTTTTAGCAATCTTATTAAATTGATAAACAAACATAAATACCTCACGACAAATGAAATAAAATATATCACACTTTAAATGGAAATCTAGTAATTTCTATGTAGTTCCTAAAATTCACAAATGTCAAGAAATCATTGAAACCACCAAAAGATCTTAAAGGTAGACCAATTATTGCCGGAATAAATTCGCCAACATCTCATTTGAGCCAGTTTTTACATATAATTTTATCACCGATTGTAAAGAAACAAAAATCTTTCATTAAAGATGACTGGGATTTCCTCAAAAAGAAAAATTCCAAGAGAGTTTGAATCAGAAAGTCGTATAATGACATGCGACATTGTCAATCTTTACACAAGCATCCCATATTATCTTGGTTTAGAAGCCCTAAAGTTATGGATTTTTAAATATAAAGAATTGATAGATAAAAGATTTACACCTGAATTCATAATTGAGTCAGCATCTTTTATTTTAATCAAAAATAATTTTAAATTCGATAAACAATTATTTCACCAAACAACTGGTACAGCTATGGCTAAAAATTTTGCGCCATATTATGCTTGTCTTACTATCGGGATTCTAGAAGACACTAAGTTTTTTCCAATAATCTTACCTCAGTATTTTTCAAACCGTGAAGTAGATGATATAAAAAAATTTTAATTTAGATATATTGATGATGGTTTTATAATCTGGCCAAAACATCTTGATATCATAAATTTTAAAATTTCTCTTACTGAATTAAACGAACCAATTAGTTTAAGAACCGATTTTGGCAAAGAGTTTTCTAAAAATGATAACACCTACAGTGTAATTAACTTTTTAGACATCGCAATTACTCTTGAAAACTACAAAAAAATTCAAACAAAAAGAAAAACTCATGACGACTTAAACTATAACAGTTTAAGTCGTCATGAGTTTTTCTTTTTGTTTGTATTTCATAGTTTATCAATTTTGTAATTAGATGATAAAATACTTTGTATTAGTGTATTTTTCTAAAAATAAAAAAAACATTTTTAATAATAAATATTTTGAGAAAAAAAGATTATATATATATATATATATGTATATATATATATATATATATATATATATATATATATATATATATATATATATATATATATATATATATATATACATATATAAAGCAAAAAATAGTCAACCCAGTAAGCAAAAGTAAATCTTTTTTTCTCAAAATATTTATTATTAAAAATGTTTTTTTTATTTTTAAAAAAATACACTAATACAAAGTATTTTTACATAATTAATTAAATCAACTTTAGGCACTTTCAAAAATCATCAGTTAGGCACTTTCAAAAATCATCAGCCTTTCAAAAATCATCAGTAGTGCTGTTTGATATTGTAGCAAGATTTTTGTTTACAAAATAAATTGTCTGTCGTTTTACTTAACTCTCACTTGTCTTTTCATTATATGTTTTGTCATTCTTTTATTTGTCTTTATTGTTTCTCTCACTCTAATTTATTCATCATTTCAACTTCACTCCCTTTACTTTATCTATCATTTTATCTTTACGCACTCTTGTTTATCTGTAACATACTTTCAATCACCTTTTTTTATCTTTAATCACCTTCTTTTATTTTTAATTACCTTCTTTTGTCTTTAATCACCTTCTTTTATCTTTAATTACCTTTTTTTTATCTTTAATCACCTTCTTTTATCTTTTACCTATGCTTACTTTCGTTTCTGATATTTTCAATAAAATCTTGTATTATCATTTTCATCTTCACCTGATCATCTTCATCACTTTTTGCACTTAAATTCCTTTCTCTAATATTTATTTTCAATCATTTTTGATTGAAAGTTTATATGATTTTTGACTTATATCCTTAAAAATACAGCTATCATCGTTCTTATATAATTAAATACATCGATACCTTAAAATGCATGTTGGGTAACTCCATTTTTTGAAGTATGACTTTTAAAACGGAAATTTTTTTTTTTTTTTCGTTATTTAGGTGGCCCAAGAAGACCTAGTGGTCTTGTCACATTTAACCAGGAAGTTCACGCCTCCTTAATTACCGTGACGCGAAATATGTCCAGAGCTCGTTTCGAACCTGGATCTCCTGCTCCTAAAGCAAACGCTGTAACCACTACGCCACGGCCGCACAGTAAACTAACAAGAAAACTAACAAGAGTCTTCATATCAATACCTTAATATGCAAATTGAGTAGCTCCATTTTTTGACAAAACGACTTAATGATGGCATTTTGTTGTTTGCATGCCAATACACATTGTGTATTTGTGTGCAAATAACAAAATTGTGTAATGGAGTTACCCAATTTGGATACTAAGGTATCGATATCGTCATCTTTATTATTATATATCTGTCTAATCTTGCACTTTTATTTTATACGCACATAATAAGAGTATAAATAAAGCTTACACTTTTCGCATATAAATGGATATTGGCTTAGGCAACCTACGTTATTCCATTTCCCTCCTCTTAACATTTGAATGCAGTTTCCGGAACCTGATGGACTACGAAACACCCAATTAGTATATTGTTTTCCCAAATACTCATTCCCACGCTGAAAATTTGTTTTGCTTAGGTTTATCCATGCACCACTCAAAGAAATATTTGCAATTTCATCCTTAGCAAACTGATTTTCATTTTCGTCGTCTATATTTATCAAGTTAGCTATTAAATGTTTGCAAAAACTGTTAGCAGTGTCATAATATTTTGGTTGTTCAAATAACTTATAACAAGACTTTCGATAGAGTTTCCAATCTTTATCTTTGCATGCTATTAAAAAAAAAAGTCACACAAATACAGACAAAGCATTTTTTCTCTAAAATCTAATACAATTAGTATATATGAAAACAACAAAGTATTCATGAAAATAACAAAGTATAAATGAAAGCAACAAAGTATATATGAAAAGTATTTTGTCTATTTTTATTTTTTTTAATATTGTTCTTATATAAGTTTTAAAAAAATCATTTACAATAGTTTTTCAAAAGCATAAAATATTATATCTACAATAAACTTAAGTAATCGATAAAATCAATTAAAATTAAAAACATTAAATTTAAAAAAATAGATGACCTATTTGTGACATTGCAACTGTAGCTAAATTCTTTAACGACAAAACAGTTTTCTAAGGTTTCTGAAAAAACTTTCTTTTGTGTTGATAATTTTTTTATTTTTTTTCTTTCTGCTCTCTGAAAAAAAAGCAAATGATTTTTTTTTTCTAAGATTTCCAAATAACTTTTGTTTTAATTTTAAAGGGTTTTGTTTTCTATTAATTCATTACTTATAGAACTCTATGTCGCTAATTATTTTTAAACTTTTTCGATCAAAAATTAATTTTTAAAAGAAATATTTGTTAAATGTTAGTATTAATTTATAAAGTAAATTAAAATTTTTATTTCGTTTACTTGCCTACATGGTTTACAAAACACTAAGTATGCTTCTTCGCTACATTTTCTTAATTCATAAAGTTTAATATATGGGTAGCGCCGCTATATTTTGAGCAATATAGCGGCGCTATATTTCTCAAAAATTATCGAAAAACAAGGGTAGCGGCGCTACCCTTGTTTTTTGATAATTTTTGTTGCTTCTTACAATAAGCAAAAGGAGTAGTATGACCATAATAGATCGAAATATTTGCTGAGAAATGAGCAGATGCATTAAGTCCGCGACGCTGAAATCTTTAAATTTTTTATAATTTAGTAAATCTATTATTTCTAATTTTTGCTTTTTTATATCTTTTGTGAGTAGAACAAACGTGTTAAGCTTTTTCTTAACAACGTGTTTCTCAAACAGTATCGCAAATAGTAGATTTTTTTTTTACTTCGTTACCAAAAAAAAAAAAAAAACCTAACTTTTTTTTTTTTCTCTCTGCAAAGGTCTCTTTTTTTATTTACATTTTATATTACTATTGCTATTTGCAGTTACATAAAAAATAGGTTCGATATTTTCATTAGACTATCAACAACTTTCTTCATTTTGTCTGAGCGATATAAATGCAATCACAAAGAAAGAAAATAAATATCTGAATTAGAAAAAATCTAAATATCTATTTCTATTGTTTGTACCTCTTTAACATTCTTTTAACCTTGGTAATGTATTTAACTGTAATGTATAATATACGGGGCAATTCTATGGGAACAAGTAGAGGTGTTCAAGTAATAGAATGAAATTACTTAAGTAAATTTAAGTATTTTTTCTTCAAATTACTTAAGTAACTTAAGTAATTTGAAGTAATTTTAGCTATATTCAAAACAATGAAAAGTTACATCTAGTATTACATTTTTGTGTGATATAGTGCTATATAGGTACAACAAATCATAACCTAACTAAACTTTTCAAGATAGAAAGCTGAAAACTTAAAGTTTTTATCAATTTATCACTCAAAGATGTTCTCAAATTTGTAATAAAAAAAAAAAGTCTAGAGCACTAAAGCATCTTTCTGTAAAAATTGATGATGCTGATAAAAACTTTAAAGTACAGTGCAATTTTTTAAGCAATTTCGGACGGTCATTTGATCCCTCAAATTCAGTCATTTCTTTTGATGCAATCAAAAAAATTTAAGTAAGCCTTGTTTTTTTTAATAAATTGGAGTTTTGAGCAAGAAATAGCGAAGTTCTTCAGTCTTATTTTTTTTCCGTAAAGGTTCTTTAGTTTCAACATTATAATTTATAACTTGTAATTTTTTTGGATAGTCTAAACTATATTCTTTTTTTTGAAATATGGTAAAACACAACCAAGAAATAAACAAAACTTAAACTAAAAGTTATAACACTTTAATTTTAAGGTTCAAAATTGAAAATCTGACAACTTTTATAGAAATTTTTATAAAATATCAATTTCCTGTTGATTTATTTCGGAAAAAAAAATTACTTGATTTTACTTAAGTACTTGATTTGTTTAAATAATTACTTAAGTACTTATGTTACTTTGAAACAGCCCTAGGAGCACAAAGTATGACTTTTAATTTATAGCCGGTTTTAGAAGAATATAATTAGTTTGATACATTCAGTCGACAGATTGAGAGGTTTTTTTAAGGTTTTAATATTTTTTTTCCAGAAAGCTGTCGGCAATTTCTTATTTTATTCCTAGAATCGCCCCTGTGTAAATAACTTCATTACAAAAATTGTAAAATTATATTATTTAATTATTGATGAAAACTATCAACTCTACAGGGCTTTGTGATAAGATCTATATGATCTAGAAGCCGTTCCGTTAATTTTCATAATTTGTATATTTATATATTAGTTTATGTATTTTATGACATTGTAAAAATTGAATTATATTGTGTTTTTATGTTAATTATTTAATTGATTGAATTATATTGTGTTTTTGTATTAATAGATATATTAATTTAAATTTATGGAACTTTAAAATTTTTAAACTTTAAATTTTTTAAAGTAATTTGAAGTATTTAATAAGTTTATATAAACTCTTTGATCCGTCAAATTATGTCAAGTTATAGGATAGTATGTCAAACTTTAACAGTTTAACAGCAAAATCCTTATATGGATATAACATTTTCTTCGCAACAAAGAAAGCGAAACAGATATTTGTAAACTAAGCTGTTGCAAAAAAATATTGAAAATTACTGGGGATCAACAAAAGTTCTTCATACGCATGTACATCAGTTACATAAAATAAATTTCAAAAAGGAGCTGGCACGCTTTCTGAGATCGAATTAAGAACCATAAAGTAAAAAAGTAAAATTAGCTCATACTTTTCATAAATAAAAAAAAGACAATTTTTCTAAAACGCTTGCAAGATTAACAGCTTAAGATGGGATGTTTTTAAGCGTAATATGCAGAGGCGTCCCGAGGAGGGGTGTAGTGGTGTCTAATCCCCCATACAAAATTTATTAGTTTGCAAATTGGACACTGAAGTCGGAAAATAGCTTCTATAGATGGCAGACGGCGAGTGTAAGCCAACGAGGACTTTTTTTTTGTTTGTTTCAAAACAAAAAAAGTCTAAACCAAAACAGCCTTCCCACATTTATTTTTAAGCTTATTCCAAACATAATCTCAAAGCCACTATCCAAAATGATGAATAACTCCTTTAAAAATGGAATTTTCCCAGATCTCCTTTAGGTAGCTAAAGTGATACCAATACATAAAAAAGGTTCTCTACTGGATTACTCTAATTATCTTCCAATCTCTCTTCTCTCAAATATAAGCAAACTATTTGAGAAAGCTATGCACAACTCTACAACTTTCTGGAGAACAACTTTCGACTCTACAACTTTCTGGAGAAATTCAAGTGTCTTTATAAAAATCATTATGGATTTAGAAACAATCATTCAACAACTCATGCACTAACTGATATAACTGAAAAAATTAGAACAGCTTCGACAATAAATTTTTTGCATTTGGTACTTTTGTTGATCTTCAGAAAACCTTCGATACATTTTATCATTCCATTCTATTCCGAAAGTTAGAGTACTACGGTATGAGAGCCACAACACTCTAATGGTTTTTTTATCTTCAAAATAGAATACAATTTGTTTCTATTAATGGGATTGAATCTGAATTGATATAATCAAAAAATGGTGTCCCACAAGGTTCTTTATTAGGACCATTGTTTTTCCTTCTCTTTATTAACAATCTGAATACCTATGAAGTTTTCCACTGCTTACCACTTCGTTGATGATACCAATCTGCTTTTAATAAACAAATCACTTAAAAAGATTAACAAAAATATTAACCACGACTTAGCGAATCTACTCCAGTGGCTTCTATCCAATAAATTATCACTTAAATCCAAAAAAACTGAAATTCTTATCTTTAAATAAAGTCAAACAAAAAAAGAAGGATTTGAATTTCAGATTAAATGGTCAAAAAATAGATCCTGTCAATTTTATCAAGTATCTTGGTATGAAAATTGATTCCAATTTAAGTTTTTCATCCAATCTTTAAGACTTAACACTGAAACTAAGCAGGCCCAACGGTATGTTGGCAAAAATTCGATATTATCTTAATGTTGTTTTTGAGTCTCATCTAAGATATGCTTTTTTTTTATCTCACCTCCAAAGTAAAGCCCTAAAAATAATCTATTATCAACATTTTAACTCTAACGCTAATATCCTCAACTAAATATCAAAGATACTTAAATTAAAAGACCTTGTTCAACTCTCCAACTGTTTTTTTGTTTGGAAACAGCAACATAAAAACTTACCTTCTCCATTTACTGATTTTTTTACTTATAAAAAAAATACTCGTTACCAACTTCGATCAGCTAAAAGCTTCAAATAATCTATACCTAAACATAGAACTGTTTATAATGACCATGAATCTATTAAATATCAGAGCATATGCACATGGAATAGTCTCCTCTGACAGTTAAAATCTCTCCCTACATTTTCTAAATTCAAAAACATTCTATTTAATTTTTTATTAAACAAGTATTCTTTCTAATTTCTATGATACTCTACTGCAAACTATCTACTATTCTTCTTAACTTTATTCGCTTCAATGCTGGCTTATAACTAATAATACTTGATCTTTTTATAATTTTTTATCTACTACTTTCATTTGAACGCTGATTTATTAATACTTTCTCTTTCTTAACTTTTTCTCAAATTATTTTTTATATAACTATTCTATATCAAACTCTCACTATTATAAATATTGCTTAATTATTATTATTATTATTGTTATTATTATTATTATTTTGATTATTATTACCAATAAAAATGTAGTTTTTATTATTGCCTATTACTATTACAGATACTTGTATTACTGTATTATTTATAATGTTGTTACTGTATATTATTATAATCCACTTCTCTTTTATTGCTATATTTTAATTAAGTATATAAAAGACTTATAATCTAGATAGATGTATAAAAGTAAATTGAATTATGTTCTAAATATTTCAAACTTCTTACTTAATTATTATTCCATAAAGATTTTTGTTAAAGTATTGTATTGTTTATGTATTTTTTTTTTTTTTTTTTAGTTTTTCATTATGGTGTTTACTTAAAATTAGTACTTGTAAATATTCCATGAAATGTAAAATCTATTTCAGAATACATTTGATTTGATTTGCCAACATACCTAAATAACCTAATACTGTTTAAAAAAAATAATACTAGATATATTTAGCAATATAAAAGATGCTATAAAAGATAAATAGCGACAAAAACTTGTCAGTGGAACCAAGTTTTCAATTTCATTTGATAAGTGCACGATTGTTTAGACTTACTAAATAAGTGGAAAGTTATTATAGGCAAGCGCAGTAAAGTTTGCATATTTTAAGAGTTTTAAAAATGGCTACAGATAACAAATATAAAAAAAAATTTCATTGACAACGAGCTACTTTTGTAATTTTTAGCTATTAAATATGCATTTAGCCGTTTATTAAGAGGAAATTATAATAAAAGTAACTTCTAGTACACGATAAAATGTTTCAAATTAAATATAAAACCTCTAAAAATGAATAAAATGTAATTACAGCAATAGCTACTTTAGTGTGTTTTGTTTATTGTTTTCAAATCGTTTTGAAAAAAATTTTGAGTGTAGATATTTTTAAATTTTAACTTTTTCAGATAGATGAACTGTTGATCTTTCTTAGAATGTTTACTGATATTAGTATTCAATTTTTTTTCAAGATTAAAATATATTTTTTTATCATTAGCTTTTTGTAAGCTGTTGCTAGGCTACTCTATACATAATTACATTGATGTGTATACATACATGTGGATACATGTATGTATGCACATCATACATGTGGATACATGAACAAAGTTTGATCAAATCGAGGGGGCTGTTAATTTTATATAGTCATAACTTTTAGGCACTATAATACAATTAAATTAAATCGAAAAACTGAATGTATATTTAGTATAAGATAGAGAAACTAAGCATTTTATCAAGTCATTGTCATCATGTTTTGGCAGAGGCAGTTAGCTTGTAGGGAAATTTTTGTTCACAATTCATAAAATTTTTTGCAAAACATTTAGATTTGACCTAGGCATGACCATAATTAAATTTAGTTCAAAAAATACTTTTTTTAAATGTTTTTTGAAATTTCTAAGACAACTGCATGTTATTAGAATAATAACATTCTAATAATGTTATTACTCAAGTTTGTGATTTATAATGATATGACCTTGAGCTAATTTTATTATAAACTATTAATAAAAGCAGGTTGATTTGATTCAAATAAATAGAGGTTTTTTGAGTCAAGTCTTGAATCACTATTTTGATTTAATTCAAAATATTTAAGCTTAGCTTATATATATATATATATATATATATATATATATATATATATATATATATATATATATATATATATATATATATATATATATATATATATATATATATATATATATATATATATATATATATATATATATATATATATATATATATATATATATATATATATATATATATATATATATATATATATATATATATATGTATATATATTGAACATCGCTTAGCAATAAATTTGTAAAAATTTTAATAAAAATCACAATATTTTTAAATCTTGACATGTTTCGTAGTCTTACTACATTTTCAAAAGATTTAATTTACAATTAAAACTTTGGTAAATAAATTTAAAAACTGAAGACAATACAGAAAAAAAATTAACGGACAAATAAACTTGTTACAAACCAATTAAAAATTATATTACAAATTATGACAAAATGAACTTCATAATAATAAAATTTTAATAATAATAATAATAATATAGTAAGTTAGATAGATAAATTTATAATATAATGAGATGTTTGTTTATTTAAAGAAGGATTTTCCCATTTAATATGAAGTGCTTTTTTTATTTTTAATTTGTTAATGGTAGAGACAGTATCCAAAATCTGAAAGCAATCATAATTAGTTAGTGTTTTACAATTAATGAATGAATTTAAATGTTTAAAAATATGCGATTGCTTGTCACTCGTAAGATGCTCATTTATCCTTGTTGTCAAATGTCTGGAGGTTTCTCCAATATAACTGGCGTTACAGCCAGCACAAGAAAATTTGTAGACAACGTTAGATTGAAGCATCTTAGGAAGTGGATCTTTTATGCAAAAACTGTTTTTTAATTTATCGGTTGTGAATATAAATTTGATTATTACATTTTTACAATACTTTTTAATAATTTTATCAATTTTCCAATAAATCCAATAAATGGAAGCTTAAAATATCTTATATTAGTATTATCAACAGTATTTATAACAGGTGGATTAATTTTCTTTTCAACATATAATTTAATTTCAGTGTCGATAACTTTTTGCGGAAAAAAAAAAAAAAAAAAAAAGCTATAAAAAAAAGCATTTCAATATTTTGCAGAACCACCTTTTTCAAATAAGGATTGAAGAAGGCAATTATCTAAAATTTCAATGTTTCTATCAGCATTAAGTCAACCTTCAAATAATTAATAGCATTTAGTCTACACTGCCATTACGTTGCTTGGTTGGTTTTCATGTACAATTCAAATCAAATTACTCTTGAGGTGATCGCTATAGCAGAACACGAAGCAATAACATATTCTTGTATATTTACCTCAACCTTCATTTTGTCTGAGAATATAACATTTGCTGAGAATATAACCACTTGCTGTCGTGTTTCATCAAGTAAATTAATAAACGTTTATCTCATTGTGTTGCCCACCAGATTATCCAGATCCATAATGTCATCTGTTTCAGTATAAAGTTTTCAAATATGTGCAACAACTGAATATCCAATATTTAACTTATTGGCTATTTGACGAGGAGACAGTACTCGGTTTTAAATAAAAATAGATTTGTAACATGTTTTTTTAGAGAATCTCAACCATGATTTTGGAATTTCATGCTGTATTACTTTACTCGTTATGAGGCTTTTTTAATATCTAATTTATTTGTGTTTTCATCAGTACAATTTCAAAATTAGAAATTTAGAGTTAATAAATGCTAATGAAAATTAAATTAAATTATAAAAAAAATTATTAAATTGTATCGCTCAGATTTTTAGAAAAAGTAAAGAAACCACGCTTTTAACAGTCAGATAAATGTAGTAGAGAATCACAGTTTTTTATATACTAAAACATCTTTATATTGTTTTTATCATTTTTGAATCAACAATTCAATTATCTTTATTATTATTTCATTCTATCAAAAATATGCAAATTAGAACTACTAAGTAAAACTTTAAAAATGTTGTTGCTACTCAGAAAAATTTTTGTATACCATCTTTAAAATTATAATATTTGAATTTGACACTGCGCTTGGGTACTTTCCACATCAAAACGACCTTGAGTGGACGTCAATTCAAAGTACCAGTTCTTTGAATATAAGCTTACACGATAGAGATAATATTTGGAATTTGTGTACAGTGAGGATTGTAGAAACAATGCCCGCTCAAAAATGTTTAATTTTACATAAAGAAAACTCTTCAAGTTTGGTTTAAATTTAGAAAATAGTATTGTGTGCATGATGACGGACGGCGTAGGCGTAACTAAAAAAATTGGAAAACTACTACAGATTAATCAACAGCTATGCTTTGCTCATGGTATTCAGCTAGTTATTATATCAATTTTATATAATTCGTCAAGATCAATCCGTAGTAGAAGCAATTAGTAAAAGAAGTTGACTATGCTATTGAAAGTTTGAAAAATAAATCTAAATTTAGTGAAAATGTGAATCAGACAGCAATTCTGATGGATATGAGAGTTGCTTTATGGTAGAAAATCAGACCTAATAATCAAACTGATAGTTAAATTAAATAAATAAACAAAGAGGTTGCACCGGATATAAATAAAGTTAGAAAAGTTGTAATGATTTTTAAAAAATCACCAACAAAAATACGTAAAAAGCGATTTTGGAATAAACCTTCGTTTAATGAAAGATTGCAAAACAAGGTAGCGCAGCTTTCTCTCAATACTTAAACGGTTTTATAAATCAAAAAATTGCATCACAATACACTTGTTGATATCAATATTAATGATTCGATTAAAATGGCAGATAGTGAGTTTGAAAGTGTTTCTGAACTAGTAAACTTGCAAATTCCAGTAAAAGCAGCAGTGGATGCGCTTTGTAGACGTAATGAAAACCTTATAGCTGCTGACATTTTGTTGGAGTTACTAAATACTGCAATAAGATGCTAACTTTTTGATGTAATTGCTTGTAGAATAAATAAGCGAAGGATAGAATTAAGCAGTTCACTGCACTATTTACATCATGGAGAAAACATATTAAAGCCTATAGCTGAAGTTTTTGAAACATCTTCAAATTTTAAAAATAAAAAAATGTTAGACTTTGTAAATAGGTCACAACTTCACAAATTTATATTATTCTAGAAAGTCCTCGGACAACGATGAACATTTTTACAAGTGAAGAAGATAAGATTGCATAAAATAATAAAATGTCAAAAACTATTAGTGAATACCTAAATGAAGCCTTAGATAAATGTTTCCTTGCAAGAGCCAGAAGTTCTTCCTCAAGATAAAAAGAACCCTTGAGTTCTAAATTATTAAAAGAAATGTCATTTTTTAGGTGATAGTCTTCAGAAAGTTTATGATTTTATAATGACGATTAAACCAACGAGCATAGAGTTGGAAAGGCCGCAGGACTATTTTGCAGTAAAAAAACAAAGTCGATTAGGTAATCAAAGTTTAGAACTAGATGTCTATAATTTCTATAGACAAAATTAATTATGTTATATAGAACTAATTTTACTGAACTATGATATTTTTCAGGGCTGACGACACCGGGGAAGGAGGGAAAAGTGGCGGTGGGGGAGGGATGTCGGCGTCAGCGAATTCCGGAATTAAATATTTTCCGGATTTTTCCAAACCCTTTGCATGAGTATGTTCAATGAAGCTCGTAGATGTAATTCTTGATGAAAAGGTAACTAGAAAAGATCATATTCCGATGATTAAAACAAAGAGTTAAATCTATTATGCTTGAAATAAATATATTTTTCATTTATTCACTTTTATCTTAATTACTTAATGTATGAAAAAATTGTTTTGTGGTACATTAATAAAACTAATTCATTAGTCTTAACTATTTAACAAACAGAAATCTGCTTTTTTTTTTTTAATTTTTAATAGCGTTAAAAAATTAATAGAAGAATTTAAATATTCGAACATTCGATTTTCCAAACTTGCGTTATTTTTTTCTTCTATTTCGACTAATTTTTTTCTTAAAAAAATAATGATATTTAATTGAAATGATTACTTTAACAATTATTATACTACAATCATCTTTCATTAATCTTTTGCCTACTAAATCAGGTAAATGTAATAATAATAATAACATATATATATATATATATATATATATATATATATATATATATATATATATATATATATATATATATATATATATATATATAATATATATATATATATATGTGTGTGTGTGTGTGTGTGTGTGTATATATAATATATATATATATATATATATATATATATATATATATATATATATATATATATATATATATATATATATATATATATATATATATATATTTATGTATATATATATGTATATATATATATATATATACATATATATATATATATATATATATATATATATATATATATATATATATATATATATATATATATATATATATATATATATATATATATATATATATATATATAATTTGAATGTTTATACTTATGTCAAATAGTGATGCTGTGCAAAAAATTGCGATGATTGGAGTCTTGGAATAAAAAAGCCTTATAATTTTTGCTACACCTGCCCGGAACGTGAGAGCTACAAGTTGATAAAATATTTTTTATATTATTATTTTTAACTATATTTATATTCATCCACAAATTTTAAAATTTATACAACATTCTCTTAGCATTCAAAAATTATGACCACATAAAGTTTAAACCCATTACAAATTTAGATGGTTAAAATTTTTTAAAGGCCATATTTTTTTAACGCTAAAAGGTTATTTAATGAAATTTAAAATTTATTGATGAATATAAATTTAGTTCATCAAAGTAAAAAAAAAAAATTATTAACTTGTTTTTCTAGTTTTTGGGGCCGGTGTAGTCGTAAAAAGATATTATGAACTAACAATAGTATCTTTTTTTTCTTATTTTATTTAAAAACAAATAAAATCCAAAAAAAGTAGGAGAGTAGGATATTTTGTTTATCTATATTGATGTTTATTTATTATAAGAGTATATTTTTATAAAAAATATTCAATATGTCTTTTTATAATAAAGACCGTTTACTCATAATAAGAAGTTAAAAACCATTCTTATTTTTTATTAATATTTAAAAAAAGTTATAGAAATGGTCTGCAATATTGGATTTGAAAAGAACTTAGTTTAAATAAAAATTTTGAAAAAACTTATTTAACTTTTGAAAATTTTGTAGAATATTTCTAATAAATTTCATTAAAGAAAAAATGAAATATAATTGGAGGTAAACCGTGTTTTATTTAGGGCATGAACAAAAAACGGAGGTAAACCATGTTTTATTCAGGGCGCGAACAAAAAAACATGGTGTATATTAAGTTTATAAACATTCAGGGTATTAAGATTTCTTAAAAGAGATTCACATAAAAGGTTTTGTTAGAGAAAAGAACAATTTTGCAAGCAATGAAACATTACAGACCCGTAGAAACAAAATTTAATAGGAGAAAGGACAATAAATTTTTAACTTATCAAAAAAAAAAAGGAAGGAAGGGGGGCAAATACTGGTTTAGGTAAATCACCTTTTTTTTAATTTACTTTTTCTGTTTAACAATAAATAATTTAAATATACATATATATCAGAAAGATGCATATATACAAAAAAAAATATTTCCGTAGAACGAAGAAGACAGTTAAATCTTGTCAACCAGCACGGTTTTTGTACATACAATATAAAATATAAACTTTTATTTTTTACAATGACATTAATAAAATAAAAAATTAAACAGACAGGGGCTCAAAGAAGATGAAGATGACAATACGTCGTCGCAATCTTTTCATAGACCCCTATATCATGGAGAATCTAGATCTTTTAAAGGTGAATCAGTATTAAGTCTTATGATTTTGCTTGCAATTAAGGGGACTTTATTTTATATTCTACTTGATTTGAAAGACAAAAAAGAATTAAGTTATTTATACAGCTTTTTATGTTTAGGTGAACATATTTTATTTTACATGTAAATATAATATTTGAAGAAACGTTCAAAGACGATTAAATGTGTTTCTTTCCAATCAACAAATATTTCCGCAATTTTATGAATATTTTTATGAATATTTAATAACATAATGCATTTCAAGCGTTTAATAGTTGTTATTGATTGAAGATACAATTTCATGCATTTTAAAACGAAAAATGATCTTTAGCTTACGGTATTAGTTGCAGGCATAATCAGGAAAAGATTCGCTAAAAAAATCTCTTGAGGCATATAGCTCCTTTTTAAGTCGTATAAAGTTTTTGTAAAAATGAAACTAATTTGTTAGCATTTGTTGCCGTTTCTTTCAGTCAGAATCTAAAGTTTTGTTATTAAGCAATCATTTTATCTTTTCCATAATCATTTTAAAATACTTCAAAAAATACATGTTATGGGATTCCCTGTTATGTGCATTCATAAAAACTTGTTGCTGATTTTGGTATAAAACCCAATTTAGCTGATCAAAACGAGTTTTATCGTTTCAGCTGCGTTAACAAGAGAAATCCGTACCATTTTTGTTTGAAAAACAATGCATAGCAGTGGTGGGTTTTAGGGATGGGGGGAGGGAGCTATGGGGGTAGTAGCTACCCCACCCAGCACTTGGGACAATTTTTTGACAAATAAATTGACTATTATACGAAATTATACGTATAAGAACTTGATTTTTATAAAGGAAAGCTACTTATAAATGAAAATATGGAGACCTTTTTTTTTTAATAACTTTTAGCCCTCTCCTTGGCGTGTGACAAAACCCATAGAAACATTTATTTTTGGCTGTTTATATCATTTTTAAAATATCATTTTTGTGTAATATGAGCATGCTCAAGCTACTCAGTGTTTTTCATTGAAATTACTTAAGCCCTAAAATTGTAGTGGTTTTATTGCTTTTTGAATAAAAGCAAAATAAAGTAAAATTTTTTTATATTTTAACAATACTAAATATCTTTTTGTAATTTAAATTTTAAAAATTTGTATTTTTATCGTTTAAAGGTTTCAATTAATAAAATTAAACTTTTTTTTTTGTGTGTGTGTGTAAAACAAAGTGTTGTTTCAATAAAAAGTGAGAAAAATCTTAAAAAATAATTTTTTGAAATCGGTAGATTGTCTGCCCAAACCTCAATCAATGTAGTGGCACTCCTTGCATGCTCTACCTATTTGTCAATCAATGTACACTCCTCGTATGTTTTACCTATTTGTCAGTCAATAAATGTACATTCTTTGCATGTTCTACGTGAAAAATGAAGGATTAATGTTTTGCTTGTAACATAACATGTATAAAATATTTATATTTTAAACAAATATTATATTGACATATTGTTTATTTTGTGTTGTAAAAAAAAATCCTGGGGGATTTTTTCTTGCTACCATTAATAACGGATTATTATATTCCACTAATTAGTTCTAATTGTGAGGTTGGTGTTTTGTCACTTAATGTCATTTTTTAAAGCTAATTTAAACTCATATTAATATGTAATCTTAGTAATATGAGCATTTTTTCTACTTTTTTAAAACCTCTGTTTTTTTTTTTAAATTTAGGCTTCCAAATATCTATCTATCTATAATATATCTTTGCATCCAAATAATCCAATTTTCACTTCAGGTGCTCGTGGTACCCTAATATACCCTATATATATTTTGATATAATTGTATAAAATCTATTCTTTTAAGTTTGACAGTATAAAAAAATAGATTTTGAAAGCTTGTGTTTTTTTAATCTCTCTGGGAATAAAATGAAACTAGAAATGCAACTTCCTGATAGAGTTTAAAACTTGAAGTTTTGATTTATATTAGCTTATTAAAACCATCAAACCTTTGCACACGTGTAAAAGGTGGAAATCAAGCGGCAAGTCATCTTTTCGACGTATTTAAAATTAGCATGAGCAGTTATGAAGTTACCTGAAGCTTAAAGCTTCTATTTAGTTGACATTATGCATTATTATATAATTAAAGTTCCAAAAAGTCCAAATCTAAAATTAAAACATTTAATAAACAAAAGAAAAAAAATGTTTTTAAATATTGATATAAAATAAGTTATATATAAATTTTTTCTTTGTTTCGTTTTTCAAAACTTAATTTGTAACTACCAACATCTAAATAGTAATTTTACTGGTTATTCGGTATAAGCCGGTGCAATTCGGTATAATTTGGTACATTTCGCTACAAGTCGCTAATATTTTTAAACAACTTTTTCTCTAGATATTCCCGATTTGTGCTATTGCACAGGTTGCTTTGTTAAAGACGCATGCCATCTTATAGAGCAAAAAGGTGCATTTACTAAGTCTTTACCGAAATTATTTAAAGAAAAACAACATGGTGTTAGACTAAAGAAAGTTAATAGAAATGATAATGGTAACTGTGCAAGTTACAGAATTGCTTTAATTACATCGTATTTACTAGAATTTGAAGAACCTGGCGGTAATCAAGGTAAATATCCATCTTCTTTCTTTTCAAAATATACATTTTTTTGTTTAATTTAGTGAAAGTAAATTTATTTAAAGGATATTATATTAAATATGATTGTTTAATTTAGTGAAAGTAAATTTATTTAAAGGATGTTGTATTAAATATAATTGAGTAATTAGAGTGAGCAAACGTGCACAAACTTATATTTTAATTTTACTTTGAGCGGAAAAGTAAAACAGTTATCTAACTTATGTATCGATTGTTGTTTTAATCTAACTTACGCGCATTTCGGTTGTTGCTTTGATCTAACTTATGTGCAGTCCGGTTGTTGTTTTGATCTAACTTATGTGCAACCCTGTTATTGTTTTGATCTAACTTAAGCACAATCCGGCTGTTGTTTTGGTATAAGATTAGTATTGTTTTTTTTTTTCTGTAAGAGAACGCATTTATATTTTTAATTTTAATTGTTTAGCTTCCCTATGGAATAAAGAAGACAATTGTAATTCCAATTTGATAAAAACTTGTTGCTTTAAAACAAAAAATCATTACCCAGTTTGTTTAAACTAAAATTCGTTTTGAAAATTAAAGTCTATTTTACAAAACATTATTAAAAAAGTTTAATTAAATCAGCAACTTCAAGCTGTTTCGCTTAGGAATTTTCATTGAATTCAAAGCGCAATTTTAATTTTTAGTTAAATTAGAGGGACCGCATAGGAAAACTTGTGACTTTTGTTTTGGTTACCGTTGTATAGTTCTTAATACGGTTGCGTAATTTATGGACGCACCATATACAATTTTTTAATAAAATATCTAATGAGTAGGTTTCATTATTAAAAATATATTATTTACTAAACTTTGACACTTTCTTACTAAACTCAGATAACTTCTTGCAAAGCTACGTTATTTATTTAATTAAAATATTTTCTACAAATTATTTTAAAAATAAAGTTTTTCATATTAAAAATTCTATAAAACTAATATTAATTTTTAAAAAACACTAAAAGCATTTTATGCTGGTTTCGCAAAATAAACATTCTTCTATAAAAACCGCCCACCCACTGATATTATGCTTTTCCCTTGTACAATTTTCCCTGATGTTAAAATGCTTCAATCCCAATTCAGTTCTTAATTCTTTTTTACAATAAAACTTTATCTCTCATCTGAAACGTTTATTAATGAATAAAGTTTTATTAACATTATTCTTGATTTTTTACTTTATGAGTAGGTAAAAGCTTTGGGAATATATATAGTAGTGTACATAAATTTTTTCAAATTTACAGCATATGTTTAAAAATTAGTTTCAAACTAATTATGCTATAATGTAAATTGAAAAAATGTTTGTTTACTTTTGTTTAAGCTGTTCAGTAAAAAAAGTTAACGTGTGTATATCAGGGAAAAAAGCAACATTTTTCTGTATGAAATCGTTGAAAAAATAAACCAAACACTATTGATGTTTTTGGTAACAACACACAGAATATCTCGCATGTCTCTGGTAAATTACATTTAAATCATTCTCTTCATTAATAAAAATCAAGATGGAGACACTACCATTGTCATAGTTGGGTTATGAAGATTATCATCGGAATAAGAACGATGAGGACTTGTGTATCTTCGAAAGGAAGACAGTGAAATTCTACTGAAAATCTGACTAACTTTAGGGCTAAACTCATCATCGTCAATAACTTTTAATTTTTTTGTAAAAATAGCTTTTAAAGCGTTCCTGAATGATCTAAGGCGAATAGCGCATGCGTAAGGATTAACTGCACTATTTGAAGCTATAAATAGTACTTGCAAGTCGCGAAATACATGACGGGAAGTGCAGTCGCAAGTTCTGCAAAATTTTAAAGTATACATCATTGTAATAGCGGGTATATAACAAAGTAAAAACCAGAGAAGAATAGTTAGAAATAGTTTCATTACTTTTTTATCTGCGGTTCGTACGCGATGGTTTAATGAACGATTAGTTATTTCTTGTCTTTCCTTCGACGACTTTTGTAACTTCTTTAGTAAACTGTGTGTTATAGCACATATAATGAGAGCTAAAGTTACGGCTACTTGAGCAAACACAAATAAATATTGCATAAAGTCAAAAGCAAAGTATAACATTCCAATTATGATTGCTATTATCCAAATAAAGATTGATACACAAAGACAAACCTTACTGTTTAACAGTTGCCTGTATTTAAATGGCAAAGTTACTGCAATGTAGCGATCAACACACAAGGCAACTAGATTTAAAACGCTTGCGCTACACGAGGTAAAATGAACAATGCGACTAACTGTCACATGGGTTTCTTTTTTTGTCCCTAACGCCTCTAAATAATGAGTTGCAACTGACATTGGCATTGTTATTAGACCCACAACTAGATCTGTTGCAGCCAAATTTACCAACATTAGCATGTAAGGCGCACAAAGCTTTTTGTGTGGATCCTTGTACACTGCAAGAATAATTAATAAATTTCCAGATACCGTCACAATAGCCAAAAAAAAAGAACACGCGGCTGTAAAGTATGAGAGTTGTATTGGTGCCCAAATGCCAGAACAATTTGAACTAAATATCTGTGCCATTTTTGAAAGTATAGTAATTTTTGTACATCAGGTTAGTTAGACTATTGGAGCATTGCGATAAACTAAAAATACAAATAAAAAATAAAAAAAAGCCAATTAATAGCTATTAAATTGAAAAATTAAAAATTAAAAAATACACAATTTTATTTAAAGTCAAAATTTATAAGCATATTAAATTCTGACAGTTAATAACTGCATCAAATAAGTTAATAACTGCATCAAATATGTTTATGTATTATAAATACAGTTTTATGTTTAATTACTTAAAACCAGTAAAAACTTCATGTTTTATTACTTAAAACCAATAAAAACATATCTGAAAATTTACCTAATGCGCAATCGATTTAAGTCTCCCAACGTTTCTGATAGTTCTCATTGCCTAATATATTTATTTAAGAAACATATAAATAAGTTAAGCACAAAGAAACAATCTACTTAATGTTTCAACAGTCTACTTAGTATTGCAATAGCAGGGCCGCCGAGAGCTGTCACGCCGCCTGGGACAACAATCCTGATGGGCGCCCTTATTTATCAAATTTTCCCTATGTTATATATAAAGTTTCTTTTTTTTTTTTTTTTTCTTTTTTTTTTAGGTACCTACATTTCATTTGGCGCCCCTTGGATATCTGCCGCCCGGGACAAACTAAAAATACAAATAAAAAATAAAAAAAAGCCAATTACTAGCTATTAAATTGAAAAATTAAAAATTAAAAAAAACACAATTTTATTTAAAGTCAAAATTTATAAACAATATAAATGTCCCGGTGTTCCCCTTCTCGGTGGCCCTGTTCAATAGTCTATTAAGGTTTCAACAATCTACTAAATGTTTCAACAGTCTACCTAATGTTTCATCAGTTTTCCTAATGTTTCAGCAATCTACTTAATGTTTCAACTGTCTATTTAATGTTTCAGATTAGTTGTAAAAAAAAGATCTCTCAATTTTGATTCCATCTTTAGATATTTTAAAGATTGTTTTTAAAAGTTTTTCCTTCCTATTTATTTTTACAAAATTATATTGTGCTATTTTTGAAAATATGAAAATGATAACTCTAATACTTTGATAAATAGCCTTAAATAGCTCTTAAATACTTACTCCTCTTACCGTTTACATGTAATACCGTTTATATGTAATATAGACTTTTGAGAAATAAATTTTATGGTGAGCTTGGTTTATCAATACTTTAATAATATTTTTATATATAATATTTACCATATATAATATGTCTACTTTTTGGTATTGTAATGTTATATTGTAAATATTATGTTTAAATTAGATATATACTGTAAATCAAAATTATGATTTACGTTATTATATGTCTAAATTAGACATATGATACCGTAAATCAAGGCATAAACAAACAAATGATCTTGTTGTCTTCGATATTTTACTTGAGTTAAACGCCTTTTTTATTCTAACTAAATCGACTAAAAGTCGATTTAGTTAAAATAAAAAAGTAATTTATTTTGGCTATCTAATTTTTAACATCATATAATTTAAATGTTAATATAGCAAAACAATGGAGCCGCCCCGATAACTGGACAATTTATTCCCGGAGTCCAATAATTTAGGGACTGCCTTAAATTCTTGCTATATATCATACTTGCATATATCAATACTTGCTATATATCAATACTTACTATAAGTCTTTACAACCATATTTACAATGTAATTATATTGAAAACATTTTGATTTTGGACCTTCGTAACTTAGTTTTGTCCAAGGGCCTCAAGCCAGCTTGAAGCAGCCCTGCATGAAAGTATTTATGAAAATCAAAAGGATCAAGTAAACATAAGAAAAACAAAATTAATGTAATACAAAACTGATTCTTTAACTAGGTATAACTGTTTTCCTTTTTTTGTATGTAGTTATTAAGATGCTTACGGACCTAAATAATGCTAATATGCTATGAATTGGATAAAACATATTAAGAGTAAACAAAAAATAAGTAGTAGTTATAATTAAACATGTCATACTTCCTAAAATAGTCATTCACTATGTATATTGACATCGGTAAATAATTAAAATTATTTAGCAAGTTCTGTCAGGATAATCTTTTACGTTTACTGACCAACACTTGTAAGTGTTTGCTGTCCAATTTATGCTAACGGTTTCATGTAAAAACTAATAACATTTGCAAATGGAATTATTCTTTCTCGAATCTTCATATGTGTTTATTTTTTCGTAGAGATTAGTTTGATCGTCTACATTTACATTTCTTTTCCTTACGAAGTAGAGCTGAATCATCACCAGTGCTATTAGTCACCGATGATGGTTCATCGGTGTAAAGCAGCCTTTCACTAAAAAGGATTTATCACATCGTTTTATTACAACTGTATAATTGGCATTCCCATTTAAGTTAAAAAGTTATTTAAGTTCAGGTTGTAGTGAAGATCTATCTATATCAACTTCTGAAATTACCTCTGAATTGCAAGTATACCCACAATATACACTTCAATGAACCAAGTCGGAACCCTCAAAATAGGAAAATGTCACCAAATATTATGCAGCTGAATAATTGGTACTTCGACGAGCTTCTAGCCGAATATTCGGTATTCAGCAAAACCACTATCCGTGACATCTCTAGTTATAATAGTAAATGCTTTTGTTTTTAAACGAAGAAACAAAAATAAAAGACTGAAAAGTTAAATCGAATGAAAAGATAAAATGATTTTAAGAATTTCACTCTACTAAACTGACTTAGTCAATTAGTAGGAAGTCTCAGTCGATTAATTCGTTATATATATATATATATATATATATATATATATATATATATATATATATATATATATATATATATATATATATATATATATATATATATATATATATATATATATATATATATATATATATATATATATATATATATATATATTCTAAAAAATAATCGAAATGTTATATATGCAATAGTGGCTATAAAATTAAATCCACCTGTTTGACATGATGTAAATTGTATTTTAACTATTTTTGGTCTTATCTACAACAAATTTTGTGTGCATTCCATGGGTAATACATTTAGATTTTGACCAGTTCACATTTGAACTTTATTTCATTAAATTATTAGAAACATTACTTTTTCATAATAAGTATATGTTTGCTTGTTATTGCTTTTACAGCGAAAAATTGGGTAAAAAATGTGATATAACTGATTTTCATAAAAATCAGGTTGTTATACTAATTAGTGAAAGATAATCACAGCGTCAAGTAGCATTTCGGCTGAACATTTAAAGAGGCGCAGTAGAGAATGTTATCAGACTAGCTGCATCCTTCGAAGTTCGATTGCAAAAATCGAACAATTAAACATAAAGCGGACTGGTGGGACAGAGGGATGCTCAGTGATAAGAGTACATTTCAACAGGTTCGTTGTTCAAGGGCTATATAAGACGTCTTGTAAAAAAGCGTTTGGATCCGAACTACACCATCAAAACTGTCAAACACCGGCCTTCTGTAATGACGTAGAATGCAATAACAGCGAATGAACAATGCAGACTGACAATATTTTACAAGGGAGTAAAATTTAATGCAGCAGAGAATATAAAGGTTGTAAAGAGTAAAGTCAGTATCACATTACGTCAGTGATATAATTGTGTTCCAGCTGGACGCTTCTCGATACACGCATATCACGTTTGGTAAAGAAATGGTTTGCAGACAATGGTATTTAACTTCTTGCTGTGTGGCCTTTAAACTTTCTTTACTTGAACGTAATTAAGAATTGTTGAAATTAAAAAGAAAGTTGTAGATCACCATCCAACAAGTGAAACTGATCTCAAAAATGTCCTCAAACATGTTTGGGTTAATCAAGCTCAGCAGATTACTGTAAAACATTAGTCAGAAGTATTCCGTCAAGAATTAAGGTAGTCCTCAAAAACATAGAATATCCCATTAGATATTGATTAACTGCAGCAGTTGACGTTTTCTTTAGTATAAAAACACACAAAAATTTTCTAGTGTATATTGTGTTGCATTGATTTAAAAAAAAACATAAAAAGCATAACAAATAATTATAATACTCGCGGGTTTAATTTTATGGCCACTACTGTATATGTATATATACAACCAGGGGTGTGGAGTCGTAAAAAAAAAGTAACGACTCCGACTCCGACTCCAGTTGTTGAAATTTTTTGAGTACAACTCCGACTCCAACTCCAACTCCAAAGCAAAATTTTTTTTTAAATATTGCGCGATAAGTTGAAATTTTTTTTTTGACAAACTTATAAAACGTTCTTTGAGGTTTAGTATGAACATAAGGTTAATTGAATGTTTTGTACATACACGTACAATACCAAGAAATATTACTATCAGAATCGGAGTCACGATATTTTTTAGCGACTCCGACTCCGCTAAAATTGTCGCAACTCCGCAACTCCGACTCCGACTCCACAGCCCTGTATACAACTTTTCGATTATTTTAAAGAACCATTCTATTAAAAAACATTTATATAAGACTGAAACCTCAACAAAATAAACTCTGCTGCTATCATTCTTTGCTTTGCTACATTAAATATAAGTTAATGGTATAATGGTAGAGTGCTTGCTTTGTAAGCAAGAAGTTCCAAATTCGATTCATATCATGTCCATGGTAGCGCCGCGCTCAACTTGTATCTCCACAAATTGTGAAAATTAAATTTAAAAATTAAAAAGAAGTTTAGAATAAAAATATATATTTAACTGCACACACATGCCAAAAAAAAACTTTAAATTACCATACGCACCAAAAACACTTGAAAATTAAACCATTAATGTTCATTGATGTTTTGATTTAAAAATACTGAATTATTTTTTCTTTTTGTGTTTCCTTAAGTTATTATATATTGTATTCTTTTTTTCTTTCACGTGTATTCGTGTATATTTTCGAAATTGCAAAAAATTTTAGTCATTGTTAACTATGTTAGCCATTGAGTATTAAACTCATTTCTTCAGTTTAATTTTTTAAAAAGGGAATCTTTTCACGTAGTATTACTGTTGACTTTGGGATAAAATTATTTTTGTCACGTTAAAGCTGTGAATGCCTAATAATCACCAATAAACCTCGCTAAATTTTATTGCGAGAGACTCTTCTGATCAAATAAGTTGAATTCTTATAATGTAGTTATTTTTAAATATTTTTTATTTATAGAAATATTTAAAAATAATTACATTATAAGACTTATGGTGTAATATTAATATTGAACACATTAAATCATATATAGACGTATATTATATATGATCAGTTAAAGAAGTATTGCACAGTATCTTACAAAAAAAATGATGTCTATGATGTAAGTTTTTATTCAAGTTTTTAAATTACGTCAACATTTGCACCAAGACATTGCTTTATGAATACTATATACCAGTGGTGGGCAAACCACTGCCCGTATGTAAAAAAATGCCCGCAG